TCACCGCAATCACTTATCAGTCTGGGTTCTCCTATTTAGAGACCTGCCACAATCAACCTGCTCGAGATGCGATTCAGCGATGAGAGGGCTCAATCGGACCAGCAGTCGAATCGATTTTGACATGGCGTGGTAGCGCCTGCCGTCACCTTGTGGTGGTCGAACTACCTCACCGGTCAAACAAAACGAGCACAAGTCCCGACTGGTGCCAATTCCGGGCGGCTTGTTCCGTGAGGCTTCTGCGCTACTGTCGGCCCTCGCTGGGAGCTCTCGGGCTTTCGATGAGTGTCGACAAATGCGAGCTGAGGCAACGTCCATTTCGTCGGGCTCAACGCATGGAGCCTGGCGTAGCTCGGGACCGTAATGTGGTCTGAGCAGATTTTTCGGGGGTGAAGAGGTGCACCTCGGCCCGTATGCGGTTCCTTGGGACGCAACGAGGGGGAGGTGCCTTCTTTATCGGAAATCGTTATCGATTACAATCAGATTTTTTTCGATGGGATTGCTGATATTGATCAATTTGATGCCAGAAAAGCGACCAAATGGTCGGCAATCCTACGCGGATGAGCATTTTTTGCAAAATTTAGTCAAAATGCGAATTTGGCAAAAATTTTGCTATAGCTGGGCTAGAACCAGGATCGCTCAGGTGGAAACGGCCCTACATCACTCTGAGCCATTTCTCTCCATGCTGTTAAAGGTTTCGGCGGTTGTCATGAACCTTACTCCGGAGAATGCACAATGATAAACCGAGCGCCTCGCTTTCGAGGAATTTCTCGACTAAATGGTCAGTCAGCCCGCTGAGATCCCTTTCATGGGCACCGCGGTCGGGAGGTGGTCAACACCCGAGGCCTCCAAAGCCCGGAGGCCCTGCCGACTGTTCGGCTAGCGATATCGACCACACCTTAGATCGATCCACTGCCTAGCCGGCGGAGTCCCACTGCCGATGGGCAGCACTCTCCTGGCCGTTTCAGGACAGCACATCTAAACTTATTATCGATCAGCCACAATAACCTTCGAGAAATGGTGCGATTTCTCTTGAACCCTTGGTGCTCCGTATCTCAGGCTGCCTTCGAAACCTTCTACAGTTTCGGTAGGCATAACGACATCACTAAAGACTTCCTTTTCACTCGTCATTCTCTTCGCATCTCAAATGTTTCTTTGCATATTGCAGCTGTTTCCAATTGGAAATACGATTCTTATTAGACGCTTGTGACGTCATATCTTCTCTTATTGCTACCTCACTTAGTATTTGATGATGAAAGAAAATTGATCATGGGCGTCATCGTAGAGGTAAAATAACAAGTAGGGAAACGGGCATAGCGAGGAACACATCGGAATCACTGGTGTCAAATCCTTCCAGAAAGTGATCGGTTGAAATTATCAATTTGCCCACAACATAGTAGACAGGCAGATTGAGCTCTGGTGGTTTAGTGGGTATTTAAGTGATTTCAGCACGTGAGAAGTCGCAATGTTCGCATACGTGACGTGGTGGGCCCGTGCTTTTTTTCGACAACAACAAAAGGTTCGTAAAACTTTGCGGTCAAAAACTGTCGTCTGGCGCTCTCCTCCCTCATAGATTGCTCGATTGCCAATCCGGAAACGTACGATGTATCATGCTACGTAAGGCAAAGAGCCATTGCATTCTTCACAACGGCGCTCCTATAAAGCTCCACAGAATGCTCTGTATTTGGATATTCAAGGGACGGTGCTCCTGGAGGTAGTGCCCAATCGATAATTTGACTGAGGGGGTAAGATGGACGTCACACCCCAGGTGCTACAATATGTAGAGTGGTCCATGGCAAGATGCACAATGAGATTTAGATGAGGTGGCGCGCAATTCACAACCGGAATAGGCTGTAGCGATGAGAATGTGCACGAAGATGTTACAAAGGGTTAACTGGCGGTGTACCTAGGTGGACAATGAGTGATAGCCGCGGTGAACGAATATTCACCCGCTGTACACTCCTGCACACCCGCGGTACACCTCCCTCTCACCTGATAGAGGTGTACAGAGGTGTGCGCACTTACTACGGTAGGTTGTGCAGTGGTTTGCGGAAAGGGTATATGCTGGGTGAATATATTCACCTATTGTACACTCCTACACACCCACGGTACACCTCCCGTACACCTGGTGAAGGTGTACGAAGGTGTGAGCACTTACTACGGTAGGTTGTGCAGTGGTTGGGGAATGGGGTATATGCTGGGTGAATATATTCACCTATTGTACACTCCTACACACCCACGGTACACCTCCCGTACACCTGGTGAAGGTGTACGAAGGTGTGAGCACTTACTACGGTAGGTTGTGCAGTGGTTTGACGGAAGGGGTATATGCTGGGTGAATATATTCACCTATTGTACACTCCTACACACCCACGGTACACCTCCCGTACACCTGGTGAAGGTGTACGAAGGTGTGAGCACTTACTACGGTAGGTGTACAAGACTGCGCAGGAAGGAAGATACGTGACGGGACTACATCTGGCTGCACAACCTCGTGAAAAGCTCAACGCCTCCTGCCCACTTCGAGAAGCGCGCGGGGACATTCGCCAAGTACTCCCACTTCAACATGCAAAATATGCTGTCACGGATTATTTGTCGGATCCGATAGATGTGTGCACCATCATATTGGTAAGGTGATTCGTACACGGCGTAGGTTGTAAAGGGGCGATCTATAAAGAGAGAGGCTCTAGACGAGCATACGAAAGCGGGCTATCAAACGCAAAACTTTGCCACCTCCCGAAATAGAACTTGCGAGCACTCACCTGAGAGCCTGCCCTACTAAGCACTGCGCCATTAGATGGACTCTATGCGCGATCCAAACATCTATATCTGATTGCTTCATCTTGCTCACAAAGCATTACAGTTACTTAACCATAGTGTTCTAGCCTTCTGAAACATCTAGAGTGTTACGAGGCCGCAATCGGCGTCAGGGGGACTGCAGCAAGCACAGATCACTAGAGGGCTGGAATTCCATCAGCCATTTTTTTTTACTTGGTGTTGTGTCGTATCGCGCGACGAGGCTCATCTTGACACAAGCCAGCATCTGACACATCATCTTGTACACCTCGTACACACGTTCTAACGTTTTCTGATTAGGGTTTATACTGAGGTGGCATTCGTACATGCGTGTAGGTTGTGAAGGGGCGATCTATAAAGACGGAGGCTTAAGACGAGCGATACAAAAACGGGCTATCATAAACGCAAAACTTTGCCATCTCCCGAAAAAGAACTTGCGAGCACTCACCTGTGAGCCTGCCTACTAAGCACTGCGCCATTAGGGACTCTACGGCGATCCTAACAGTTCCATCTGATTGCTTCATCTTTACTCCCAAAAGCCATCATTAGTTCTACATTAATAGTTCTAGCTGTTATCGGCATACTCCGGACTCTTTTAGGCTGCTCTACGCAAAGCCGAAGTTTGGTTCAGGAGGGAACTGACCAAAAGCCACCAGTCAGGTTAGAGCGATTCGAATTTCATTCGCCATTTTTTTTTACGTCTTTCTGAATACGGACGCTAATTCCGTAACGGGCCTACTTTACAAGAGCAGCACCTGACTTCAACAACTCATTTTGTAGAACTCAATACTTTCGAATTTTTATGGGATTAGGGGTATACTGTGTGCGTGGCGTATAACTACGAATCAAAGAATGAAATAAGGTAGTGTTAAGGTTTTCAAAAGCTAGAAGTAAGCGCTAAAGGACAACCATCGAATGGACAGCCTAGTGAGGGAATCTATTGGCCTGGTGAGTGTTAGTTTTTTTTTTTTTGTTTTTTTTGTTTTTTCTTTTTTGAGCGGCTAGGAGCTTAAGCGCCGCGAGTGCCCTTGCGGAAGCGCAAAAGCACTTGTAGCGAGAGCAGTGCAGAGCCACTCATTGCCATGAGTGGCAATGAGTGGCTCTGCTCACAATGCAATGGAGATGCTGAGAGCAACTTGTTGAGCCACGACTCCACATCCCTTATATAGCATTGGCGTTACTCCATCAGATTATCCCCTTCAGACCGATGTCAGACCTTTGCGAATCGAGCGATTCGCTACTTCGCGTTGCGGTACCAGCCAATTGAGTGATTCACTGGCCGCGACGCGACCGCGGACGCTAGCGAATCGCTCGATTCGCAAAGTCTGACATCAGCCTCATAGGGCCTTGAAACAGCACTGACGAGAGGAAAAAATCAAGGAATACAACCAGCCCAAAACGAGCTCGCCGAATTCTTCGATTGCCATTTTCACTCATTCTGAGGAGGTGAACACCCGAAAATTTCCCTAATAACTGAATGCATATCAGACACTTTGATAGTTGTTACATTTTTGATGAGTTGTTTCTTTGGGAAAGATAAAACTTAGAGATGAAAGCATCAGAAATCCGGGCACAAATTATAGGATAACCCATGAATTCCTATGAGCAGTTACTCCATGCTAATTCTTTATTCTAAAGCGAAAAAATTATATAACCCGTGCTATGAATATTACATATAGACATGCAGAAACAATATGAAAATTCTAAAAAAATAAGGAATATTTATGATATTGACAATTTTACAGCAAGGCCGATAGGAGATCCCGCATTATACTTTTCACAACCTTAACAAATTCAACACATCCACATAACCAAGTGAAACATAACACAACAATTATGGGAATATCAATATTAACAAATGAAAGTCCGCACTCAGCAGGGTCGCGTTGAAACAAAGCGCGCGGCATATTACGCCATATTGATGCGTCACAATGACTGTGTTGCAGCCGCACGCGTCCTGCTCCGTTTATTACCACATGTGCTTTGGGGGAAATAGAAAAAAATGATAGTTACGTAGAACATTATGGTACAAGGGGACACATGTCAATATTTTTGATAGATTATGAACACTTAAAAGATGATACCTGCATACCTGAGTTAATATCAGTGAATTTTATATAGGTATATCTATAGAAGAAGATATGTGCACACAGGTGAAGACTGAATTATCACAGCGTGTAATCAGCTTCTTAAACCCTATATAATAATCACAACATTACACGACTAAGTGAAATCAGGGTAGTACACAGCACGGAGAAGATCATGTAGTTTGGGGCAATGTTGCACCTGAACACAGTACGAGTACGCAAAAACAAAAAATTGAATTAAAAAGATTTGAATCAAAGACCCACCTGTCTGATGTGCAGATACAGAAATTCTCCACAACACGAAGTCGACCAATTTCATGACTTCGTAATGAGCATTCGTTTACCTAAAGATGAACAGTGAGATTCAGCTGAATGAGAAATACCATTCTCGTCATATTTTATACTCAGTGAAGAAAACGTAAGTAAACTTAAAGGCAGCGACCACGACGGCTGAAGAGTGGCGTGATCTTGATCATACCATTGAACGTCATTGGTGGAAAGGCGTTAGCAGGCGGTCCAAACCACGCCCCTCAGAGCGCTAGGGAGCAGGGTGAATATCGGTTGAGGATTCCTCAACGGCACGTCGAGGATTTTCGCCTGATCAGTTACGCTCTCCCGCGCGGACATTCACACTCGCCATGCGCGAGCCGTCTGTGCTCTCCGCGCGTACATTCACTCTCGGCACTACTCTCGCACAGTACAGAGCCATGGTCGAGGAATTCCTCGACCGTTATTCACCCTACTGAAAAGTCGATCCGCCGGTGACCTTTTAGGACGTCATCAAACAGTACCGCCCTTCAGCCATCGTGATCATACCTTCACGATGAAAAGCCAGTCATCCAACTGCGGAATGAATCGACGGAAATGGGTTACCTTGAGCACAACAAGAGTTGCCGCGCGATTGCGAAGTGGAGTTCCTATACGCAACATGGTCCACCAATGTCTAGTTACATTCTTCTCATCCCTTATTTTATTCCAACGGAGCAACCTTTACAGCCTTCGCTAAGTACCTCTTTTCATTAAACAACCTCTTTTCCTACAACGGTCTTTTATGCGACCATATCACTTAAACAGACCTATCCCTTCCGCATTTTGCCCAGTTTTCTCAAAAAAAATCTATTTTGTTATTTATTCCGAACTAAGGGTCGAAGGTACTCCCCAAATTGGCGATGTCACGCGGCGCGCGCACGCAACCTGCGCGATTGCCACGCGCCATAGCTGTCTTCCTGTTCAAAAGCTTAGCCGCGGTCGCTACACTGGGAGAGCGAACGCTGCACATCCCTTCCAGACAGATGAAAAAAAATCTGGGGTCTCGCCTGTTTAAAAAAAAACCAGCAAAAAGACGAAAATCAGAATCGAAAGAATACACCAAGCTTTGCGGGTACGCGACATGAACCTATGAAACATTTTAACACAGTGATGACAGCACGCATTTCGGCAGTTCTGGACCTTTGCGACTAGCGCTATTTGGCGAGCGCAGCCACTGTGACCCACTTGCGAGTCGCGCCGTCCCACGGAACCAGCGGAAGGTAACCCCTCAACGGACCAATCCCTCTCAATGTGTCAACTATATAGAAGTCAATGTAACGAATCACTCTTAGCTGATAAAAAAAAATAAATCAACATTCAAAAATGGTTACAAAACTCACCCTGGAGAGTGGATCCGTGTCATTCAAACATCCTCTTTTCACAGGTTTTGCTGTTGGAGCTGAATTATAACGGTTTTTTTCTTTTTATTTCGAAAAAAATTCAAGCGACTCACCCTGCATTTCATATTTATAACAGTAATATCCTTTGCATGTATCACGACATAACGTCTCATTCCCCAAACACTTGACGCATGTTAAGAGTTTCATATCTGAAAAATTATCGTCAGGATGGAAAAATGTCGACCTTGATAGGAATCTTTGTTTGGGTGATCTCCGTCGGGTGGGGGCCCTGTTTCGCTAATCCGTAGTACTAGAGTAGCACTGCTTTTGGATTTCACCCTATGGATATAAGATGATAAATAGACGACGCCTTTTTTAAGCTACACTCCAATGCAATTGGCTGTTGATACCTCCTCCCTGGGCTACTACAGCCTTTCGCCTGCGGAATAATGTTCAAATGAAATGTCTATTATAGTTCAGGACCATTTCCTTGAGCCACAGCAAGCCAAAATCTTAAAGCACCTTAGGACTATTTCCATACACCGATCACTATCAGAAGTGATTCTAAATGAATCGATTACGTGCCATGAATACCCTTATCCCTGTCCTTAATATTAGAGAGCAGAGTGGAGTGGCCCCGTACTAGAGTTTTGGACGTTGAAATTTCGTCGCACGACTGATTCTTCCTTCGGAATCAATATGCATTTGAACATGGGTACCTATTCCAGAAAGCATATAGTAATTTTCGAGGCCAATACTCAGGACTGAAAGGGGTAAGTGGTTAGTGGCGCTGATTACCACCTCGTCGCGTGGTCCTGGGATCTAAACCTAGCTAGTGCGTCGTCCAGGCCAATCAAGCCTTCCCTCTCTACGAGTTCGGACATCGGGTAGCCTTCGCAATTCATTGTTGTATAGGCTAAATCGTATCAAACTGCCGCTACGATTCCGAATGGAAAAGAATGCGTGGCGCATTCCAAAACGGGATTCATCAACGCCAAATGCTGTGAGTGTGGCATCCATGTAAAGCAACAGACAAATGAGATAGGTGCAGGCGTAGTGGGCTGGTGGCAGGCCTGATATGAAGGGGTTATACCTACGTCCGTTTGCTTGTCGCTTCTTATCCTCGTCGGATAAAACGAGCAAAATCAATGACAATAAAAATAACCCTCACAATTTTGTATGATTACGGTATCCGGAATGAATAAGAAATCGAGACTGTCTTTGTGTATTAAATTGAATGGAAGTCGGGAACCGAAATGTAGAAACACTTATCGCTAACCTCTTATCCCAGAAACGTTGTACTCAGGGTCAGCCGTACGTTGCACGAATCTCAACTGGAGGGGGGGGGGGGTGCTATTGGGGTTGGTGAGGGGCAAAGGGTTTTTTGAAATAGGGGGTTCGTATTTCATGAGGCGAAGGGCGTTCTTGGTGGCAAGAGGGGGTCGGTCAATGGCGTTTGTGACGATATTTGGCAGAATTACTTCACGGAAACAAAGCGAAATGACAAAATTAAAGGGGTTTGCTGCTTCATTAGCCTTATTTATCCCTGCTTTCCCCTTCGCCGTACAGCCCTTTTGGAGGAAAAAGTTGAAATGGGCGGCGGAGTAAGGCCTGTGTTGACTGATCTCAGGTCAGAATCAAATACTATACATACCATTGGAAAGCGATGATGACGAGACTGGTGATGGGGACGTGGGGTCGTAACGGAGGATATCCCTAAGTTTGACGGTAAGGATCGTACGAGAACCCCCTTCGAGGAGAGGGTTGTCAATTTTTGGAATTGAAACAAAGGACAGTTAACCCTGGTTGCCCTTCATTCCACGTTGGAGATTTCCGCAAACAAAGCGGTTACAAAGAGAACCGTAATGAATCATAACAACAAACGAAACTGTTAGTTTTTCTGTCATATTGGCCGAATGACTCACCTGATGTCATGTTTCTTTCTGAGGCAGCAATTGAAAGCACAAATATTGAAACTGAAGATTAGAAGTGATACAATCCGATGCATCACTGAAAAATTCGTCATCAGTGGCTATTTCTAGGTAGAATACATGGCGACAAATGGAACACGTCACGGAACAATAGAATAGGCGCTAGTGCTCTTAGGGGGCACCGCATACGGATTGAATCTAGGAATGTAGGAGAAGAGAATGGATCTCGGGGAAAGTGGAAATTGTTAGCCCCCTCTCCTGAGACCCAGTCCTGCAGGAGGACAAGAAGAGCGGAATGCTTGGTGGGCTCGACTCTCCGCATAGCGATGCCCTCCTAAGACCGCCAGTGCCTCAAAAAAAGGTTATAGCCTCCGAACGGAAACACTTATGAATGGATACGACAGGATGTTCCAGTTCGAGACAGCAACACTACAATGACCATTTGCGGCAAGTGATGAAAACAAGCGATGAAAAATCGGATTCCCGGAATACCGGTTCGATGAGTAATCATGAACCATTGCGTGGCCTCACTCGTTGGCACTACCAGTGTATAGCGAAAGGTCAGCGAGCGACGTCGCGCCACGTGCGATTCTGTTTTCGCTGCAAGCTTAGCGCGGTAAGCCCGAATAAGACCGAAATCGAACTGGTGGTAAAGCGACTTTGAGCCCATATAGCCTAGCATTAAGGTAGAGTCAGAGCAGAATCGACCATCAGTTGCGCAATTCTAACACGGGAAGCGTCGTTTTCTGTTTTGTAGGGGGTCGTATTTTGAGTCTTGTGCACTGGTGATGGTAACAACTTCACCTCCATAACCCCTTCTGAGGTTCTCAAAGGGCGTCCTACCCTGGGGCGGAGGTTGAAGTTGAGGGAAGGGAGTTGTATTGTAGCAGGGAGGGAGAATGGCGTCCTTCTGACAGGTGGTTTAAACGATTTTCGTGGGAACTTCAGGTAAGGCTCTTGAAATAGAAACCATAAGAAAAACTGTCGTTTCTTCGTTATCCTCCTCCACTCCCCCCCCCCCCCGCAGGGTCGACGACTGCTTTGGGAGGGTTTGGAGGCAAAGGTTGAGGGAATTGATCAACTGCTGCGAAGAGGTTAAAATCCACAAATTTTCAAAGGGACATTTTTTTCTGAAAACATTTCACAGATCGTGAAGGAATTAGGAAGTTTTTCAGCTCGTGCTGAAATGGACTCCCTGAAAAGTACAGATCAATGTAACGTAATGAGGAATGACCCTGTCCTCAGGTTTATAGTTGGAGATGAGCGAGTTTTCGCATTTTCACTCAATTTTACACACTCCCACTCGATGCCTCCTGAACTCGCATATCCTCCATACAAAAAAACGAAACGGTATTGATCAAACTCGTTCCGGGATCCGCTGTGCTCTCAACATCCAGCACACTCAAACGAGAGTCACGGGTTCATCCAGGGTCAACCGTCCGTTGGACAAAGTCCAACGCATGGCTCTCTAGCGTGTGAGAGTAATGCCGAGAGTGAACGTACGCACGGAGACACAGACGGCTCGCGCAAGGCGAGTGCGAATGCCGGCGCGGAGAGCGGTCAACGTCGGTCCAACGTCGGTCCAATGTCGGTCCAACGTAACGGTTGACCCTGGTTTTCATCTTTCTGCGAAGAACACTCAGTGCTCTGCTCATTGCTGGCTCAAATGTAAGTGACCTCTCCTCCGACGTAGCGATGCAGGATCAACTGTCCCGGCGATATCCCAGTTCCAAGAATTTGACAAAACTCCTCTCTCGTCTACGAAGAGTGGTCGATTACGATCCCACCAACCTACACCATCAGCCTTGAGGTAGGTGCGGGAGGGGAGGAGTTCGCTCTTACGACCCTCTTCCTCACCCTTGACTAAAACCGTAACCATCACGGCTGTTTCTATGCATAGTATTTGATTCTGAGACGCTAGTCACTGTAACGACGACTCCAAACATGTTGTCTGAGCCAAACATGGCAGTGCAGCCCTTTCAACTTTTAACCTTGTTCAGCTCCATACCCGCCCGTAGCCAAACCAAATTCAAAAAAGACCCCTACGTGAGATCTGCACAACGGGCGGTTGACCCTGGGACCATGTGCAGCCCTCACCCGTTGGGGGTTTCGCAACCTCGTTACGCCCTGCTCTCCTTTTTCAACCCAACTCTTTCCACTTTTGCAGCGAACACCAACGAGAGCATACCGATGATTAGAAAGTGCCAAATCTTATACAAGAAAGTGGTAACTTCAACTGCTTCAAAGGGTACCTCTGGGGGACATTTGCCAACATGAAATAGGGTCAGCCCACGCAATTCTGTAAATGACTAAAAGCCGCTACAATTCGTTTGCTTTATCAGTTGTTGGCCTGATTGTTTCATGTACAGGAAATTAGTTTACAAGAGCGGATGAGTCGTTTAGATGTGACATAATGAATCAATACAGCAGCTGTGGGGGCGAACAGTCCTTGCTCTATGTTTCAACCACAAACAATCAGAAGGAGCACAATTGTTCGAAATGACTGAAAACCGTGGCTCCGCGTCTAACAACCGGACGATAAGCGAAAAAACCAAAAAAATCTATATGAACTCAGCCGAGTGCACAGGAGCAGCGAAAGAAGAAAATTATAAGAGATAATTTAGTAGACTTAGAAAAGCAAGGAAGGTGTAGTGGCAAGCGGCGTCACTACCTAATCCCAGGGTCAAAGTTCGGATCGGAGCTCCGCTCAAGCCGAGAAAGCCCTACATCCCAAGGAGTCGAGTGCTTGTTACCATTCTAGCTTGTGAGAATAAAAACTTCTGACTTGTACAGCCACTGAAGCCATAATGTGGGTCACCGCACTCAAGTGTCAATATGTATACGACTCTGCGTACAAATCGGATGCATGGCGCATCAAAAAAGGGGACTGACCAACATAGTTAATAGCACAAAAAATACCGAGCCTGGTAGAGGCAGTAATCACAAGGGGTGAAGGGCGCTGCGGTTCCAATGACGTAACCTTATTGGTGGAATGGCTTTTGAGGGGCGGTCCCATCCACACCCTCCGCAGCCGTCAAGGGTTCAGTCCACCAATGACGTTCAGTGACGTCATCAAAAGCGCACCACCCCCCAGCCATCGCGATCAGTGCCTTTAAGACGGAAAGATGAGTTTTCTATTGACATAACCATTTATTGCGAGGACCGCAGAAAGATAAAATTGCGCATAAAGAAACAGGATAAAATCTGAAGTTCTAAAGACATTAACAGTGATCAATTCGAATGTTCTGCATTTATGAAATATCCACGAATATAACGCTAATGGAGAGACATTTAATCAGATGTTGTATGCGAACAGACATCTACACACTAAGCCGAATTGTTTTCGGGCGAGTCAATAATGAGTCATAGAAAAAACCCGTTTCATATCCTCACGTCCCCAGACCCGCATCGTTTATCTTGGGACTAATCATCCACGTTTGAGCAATACTACAGCAGTAATGCGAAAAAATCGAAAACTGTATAATTTATGTTTACAAAAAAGGACAGGTTATCCAGCGTTGATCGATTTGATTTGAGTTGCGCCACACGCTTACCTCCACTCAGAAACGTAGTAGGAATAAAAGGCGGGATCTACGAAGAAAAGGCAGCCCCTTAGAAATGAAGTTGGAGGTGATCTGTGGTGCAGAGGGAAAAATCATAGAAATGGCCCAAAACCCGAGGAATGGGATCCCTTCTCAGCCAATTATTCCGCATTGATACGACTCTCATCGATGCTGCCCTCTTCCACTAACGTGCTCTCTCCTAAACGGCTAGAGTCAGACGGCGAGCGGTTACTAGCGAGCGGAGCTGAGGTTCGGCTGGACCGTATGCCGATGTTGCTGGGAAATGGGGTCCCAACGGTCGACGGTTTACTTCAACTCGGTTGGTACGATAGGAGAGTACTGACGCAAGTGGTGCAGCTGGTCCAGCAGCTCCGCCAGAAGGGCTGGTTTGCTCACCCCAGGACTAAGCCTTGGAGAGGGGACGGACCCGTCCTCTCTTTAAGGCTTAGTTCTGAGGTGAGCACCAAATTGTGGCGGTTCTAAGGACCGAGTTCAAGTGTCCGTCCACCGTCGGGGACTCCATCTCCTCCC